TCATGGTGGACACGGCCGTGTTTAGGGTAAGTCCCGCCCGTGTTTTGAGCTGGTGTAGGAAAAATATGGGGAAGCCTCGGCAGTAAAAGCACGGGCCAGGAACACGACCGTGCTTTGAAGTAGGCGCGCCCGTGCTTTGGCTCCAGCTCGACCGAATGACTTCTGAATGCCACGAAACTCGTGCTTAGCCTTTTCTTCGACGTCCGGGACCTGAAATGTGACAAAGTAGCACAACCCGGCGTAAAATAGGCCAAAAATACATGACTATGCTCCACAAACGGATAAGAACTAAGGGTGCAAACATGTTCAATTTCATCGTCATCATTTGACCTTGAATTGCTGAAGGTCTTCACTAAAGTCGACCATGAGGGATAAATACCTTCAGGCAAATTATAACATTGATCGCAAGCATGACCTTTTATCTCAAGTCGTACATGTGGATTGCTTCCATTGACGATAAGGTCAAACACTGGAAACATCGCCAGAATATTTATATCGTTATTCAATCTAGGTGAACCAAAGAAAGAATGCCATATCGATGTGTTATAGGAGGCCACCCCCTCCAAAATGATTGTTGGTAGTGTATTGTCTTGAACAACCACTTGGACAATTCTTCCATTCACAATGCATGCAGCCAATTGATCTATTCATTCCAGAAAAGCTATGACTTGAGCATTTACGGAGTAAGATCCTTAAATCAACAGGAGTAGGTGTGCGAAGGTATGCGACCTCGTACATATTGATAATGTTGTTGCAAAACTTTTTGAAGACGTTCATCAAGGTGCTCTCACCCATACGAACATACTCATCAAGTGATCAGCTAGAAAACCATATTCTAGCATGCACATCGTACCAGTAAGCTTCTGCTCTAGAGATAGTGATAGTTGACAAAAGATATCACGCCTTAGAGCAAATGAGGGGCCAAACCACATAATGTCGTCCATAATATGATTGAATAATCTTGACTGCATCCGATAGCGCCTTCTGAATATGGGAGCATTGTATGCTGGATTTGAATCAAAGTAATCCCTCATAAGATGGCGATTACATTCGACCCGTTCACGATCAATGTGAGTTTGGCTTGTAGTTTGACGCCGACTTGATGAACCTTCAGACAGTCGTCAGCCGATTAAACTTAAACGTAGGTGGTGAAACCTTTCGTACTCTTTAATTTCTTCTTCTCCTCCAAACGATGAGCTATCTGAGATACTCATGATAAATGTGTTTGTCTTAGAGATGTGAAAAAGTTTCAGATGAATTGAGGAAAAATGAATAACTGTCATTTATAAAGACATATGATGCACAAAATGATAAAAAATGGTATTAAAGTTATGGCTACAAAAAACATACTGGAGTTAAGGGTAACAAATTAACGAATAATATTCCAAAATTTTTTGTCTAGGAATTTAAAAAAATAAACATAAAAAATTTTGTTTTAAGAAGTAATAACGAACTATAAAAAAATTAAAGTGAATTATAAAAATTAGTGACCAAATAAGTATGATTGAAATAAATGGAAATAGGAATGTGAGAAACTAAATTTTAGTTTTTTGTTGGGTTGGAGTGAAAATGATTTTTTTTTTATTACCGAGGAACCTCAGTCCCATGTGCCACTTTGTGACAGCGGAGCCTATTTAAACTGGGGTTCATCTACAATCAATTCGATGCCAACGGGGTTTTGCCCTCAGCAGCCTTATACCTCTGAGAAGAGCAACGGGCCTCGCTTAGATTCGAACCTAGGATCTGCAACTCACAAACCTTCACTATTGCGGTAGCTTTACCTTTAGGTTATCTTACCTTTTGTAGTGAAAATGGGGTTTGGAACGCTAAAAAGTCATATTTGGCTCTTCGAGAACCTAAATTTGGCTTTTTTGGGTTGGAGTTAATTAGTCTAAAATCTTATTAAAAAAATAAAGATTAGGAAAAGTAGCAATTGTCTTCTCTCCCCTATCTGGATCCATGTCACACCAAATAAAACAAAAGATAGGTAGTGGCGAAATTACCAATCCAACCCTTGACTCATCCCGAATATCACAGTAAAACTCCCAATTAGGGCCCAAGTATAAACTTTAATTGGGTGCAATATAGGGCAAATATCTTTAAATATCAACCCGGGCCGATCCATGTACCCATACTTCGACTGTTTGAAACATTATCTAGGGATTGGTTGTTTGTTGAAAAGTACGACTACAACTAATACGTTTGTAAAAGTAATTGGTTTTGACTCTAAATGAGAAGTATTCACCCGGGTGTAGCTCCCCCTAACTAGCTACCATGACTTGTCGGAATGAATGAAAACGTGTGGTGGAGGTGGTTGTGAACCGCAAGGGAAGTCCAGCTAGTGATGAGACATCACTCTCTCGGTCTCTAGGCCAAGGAATTCGTATAACTCTCTTGGCCTAATCGACTAAGGACTGTCTAACCTTTTCCCTCGAATCGAAGCTCAGACAGCCAAAACACAACCAATTCTAGCTAGGTGCTGACACGAATAAGGAGAGTTGCCCTACTTTAACCTTGATAGGAGACCAGATTTGCCTAAGAAAACCCAGCTTTACAAGCCTCTTTCACAAAGGGTTTTTTCTCTCTACCTAGGTTAGAATGGCAAAATAGATTGCAAGGCAAACACACAACACAATCTTCCATGAAAATACTTCCAAATTCATATTAAAACACACCCACACACAAACGATCATTCCATACAATCAATCACATGGTAGATGTTAAGGTTTACAAACACCAAAGTGAAAAGGGACACTACTCCATGCTAGGAGAGGGGAAAACACAAGGAGAAAGAAGAGAAACCATAATGGAGATGCTTGAATTCTTCCTTTTGTAGTACAGATCTTCCCTTGGGGAAGAATTTCCCAAATTCTTGCCTTGGAGTGAAACCCTAGCCTCTACTACACTAGGAAGAATTCAAGCATCTCCATTATGGTTTCTCTTCTTCCTCCTTGTGTTTTCCCCTCTCCTAGCATGGAGTAGTTTACCTTTTCACTTAGGTGTTTGTGAACCTTAACTTCTACCATGTGATTGATTGTATGGAATGATCGCTTATGTGTGGGTGTGTTTTAATATGGCGGGGACAATGATCTTGAACAAAAACGCAACACTTCATTTAATCTCTTCACGATCTCTGCCTTGGGTTCACGATCTTAAAACCGTGAACTGACTTGAGTTTAGTGAGACCGCAAATTTCTTTGGACCCGGTGGATGACTTCAGTTCACGGTCCACATGACCGTGAACTCTCTGCTTCTGTCGTGATCTGCAGCTGCCTCCATCCTTTTGACCCAATTTTGCGTTTTTTCGTCCGACTTCCGACTCCGGAGTTGGTTCCACCTGTTTGAGTCTGAAACACGCTAAAACAAGACAAAACCTAGTGTAAAACCAAACCACTTAAAAAGCAAATGCCTCAAACTTCTAAGGAAAACGGGGATAAAAAATGTACAATTAGCTATGAATCACCCCTTTCTATTTTTTGTTTGTGAACTAATCTAAATTGTTAGTTGGTGAAGGGTTGGAGAGTGGACGATGTGATTTTGTAGTGGTTTAGTAGTGGGTTTTGTAGTTTACTTCTTCCCATAAATTTATATCCATTTTAGGTGTTATCATTTTTCTTTCTCTTTCTTTTTTAATTCTGGTCAGGTTTCTTCATGAGAGATAGAATCACCTATGTCATGAGCTATTCTTGTATTCATTTGTTCGTATCGTAGACTCTTCATTAGGGTAACAAAACCTGATCTCTGGTTGACCGAGTAAAGTAATTGACAAAAATTTAACTCCAATCGACTCTAACTATAGGACCGCAGTCAGTGATAAAATGGAAAGGTTGGCGTAGGAAAAGTAGGGTACGTGATCCAATTGAAATTTATCTTGAGCAGCTGCAACATTCCCAGCCATACCCAGAGAAGCAATCCAAGCCAATTGCAAACATTAAACAAGTTCACAAGAAGAAGAGAGAGTGATAAAAAGGAACCGCGACCACCCTCCTTTCCATGTGAAAAATAGATCAGAGATGCCATTGCACAGCTATGCGGATCGATCTTTTAATGGCCGTAAGAAGTCAGTAAAAAGCTAGCATATATAGCCTACAATAACTATTAAGTTCAGCGAAGTGAATCGGAGGCAGGAATTGTAGAATGAAATAGAACCCCAACACGATTTGGTAGGTACCAATAAAATCACGTGAATTGAATCTCATCGGTAAAGAGAGGAAGAGGGTGACCCGGAGAGTTTCTAAAAATAAAATTATTTGTATTGTTATTTTAAATGAAATTATAGATAATAGGAAAATGTAATTTAAATTTGGATTAATTTTGAACATTTTAATATTTTTTTATGATGACATGGAACATTGATCGTTGGTCAATGGAATTGATCGTTGAATTTAATAGTCAACCCACATGTTGGATCAAATTAATCTAGATGGTACATAATTTAGGTCACTATATGATATTTCATAAATCACAGGTCAAAGAAGTTTATTTGTATAAAGTTCAAACTAATTTAATGTATTAACTTTAATTATTAAGCTTCATGAACTAATTTGTGAACTCTCGCTACTATATGATAAATAAATCGTGTAGGAGATCAAAGTACTAAGCTAACTATTCAATTCTGAAGTATATTCAACATTTTAAAAATTCATGTAAAACCCGTTAATAAAAGCATCACCACAACAAGTTAATACGATTTTACAAACACATATTATCATGCCATTAGTACCAACTGATAGGATGCATCATTAAACTCCGATATCTAACCCACCGCTAAAAAAAAAACAGGGGCAATGGCTAAAGATGTGAAAAGTTAGAAGAAAGATGAGGTAGACTGGATTAATGGCTGGAGCTGCCAAAGTAGTTGCAATTCAACCCTAGCCACCTTCTACCGCAACGCTACTGCATGCATTTCCGGCCATTAGCATTTATGAAGTGTACAGAAGCAAATTGTCAGCTATATAATATAGCCACTCTATCTGCCTGTGCCCTTCACATTATACCATCCCAATAATACACACATCAATAACCAAACGGCAGCAGAAATGGCAGTCCCAGCTACTGTAACAATGCTACTCATTGTAGCTGCTGTACTTCCGATCGTCGTCATTAGAACTGCCGAGGCTCGAGCTTTCTTCGTGTTCGGCGATTCGCTGGTCGACAGTGGCAACAACAACTACCTCGCCACAACTGCTCGCGCCGATTCCCCTCCCTACGGGGTCGACTACCCGACCCGCCGCCCCACCGGCCGCTTCTCCAACGGCCTCAACATTCCCGACCTCATTAGTACGCAATTCCCTCTCCCATGTCTATATTATAATTATCATTAATTAATTCCCTTTCAAATTTATATGTCAAACTAATTTAATTTGGAATGAAATCCTCAGGTGAGAGAATTGGACAGTCGGAGCCTCCTCTGCCATACCTCTCGCCGGAGCTAACCGGTCGGAGGCTCCTCAACGGCGCCAACTTCGCCTCTGCCGGGATAGGAGTCCTCAACGACACTGGAATCCAATTCGTGAGCCATGGCCTACTACCGGAATCATATGCTGGAACTCTAATTATATATAAATAATATCAACTCATCTCTAATCAAAATGTTGGCCAGTAATTAATGTGACTTGTTAATGAATCATGTATGCAGATTAACATAATCAGAATGTACCAACAACTGGCCTACTTCCAGGCGTATCAGCGAAGGATTCGAGGCCTAATCGGCGCTGCTCGAGCCAAGAGGGTCGTCAGTGGAGCACTGGTCCTGATCACGGTTGGCGGTAACGACTTTGTGAACAACTACTACTTGGTGCCTTACTCTGCCAGGTCTCGCCAGTTGGCCTTGCCTGATTACGTCAAATACGTCATCTCAGAGTACAAAAAATTGCTCAAGGTGCCTACTTAACACAATGACATACCTCATTAGTAAAAAAAAGAAAAGAAAACAATACTAATCAATTTGTGATCATGGTTTGTGAATACGTTGCCCAGATTTTGTACAAGCTGGGAGGCAAGCGAGTTCTGGTGACGGGAACAGGGCCGCTAGGGTGTGCCCCGGCAGAGCGAGCAATGCGGGGCACAAACGGAGGCTGCTCGGCAGAGCTTCAACGCGCAGCGGCACTGTTCAACCCGCAGCTCGACGAGGTGCTGAGCGAGCTGAACAGAGAGATTGGGAGGGATGTTTTCGTTGGTGTCAATACTGCACAAATGCACAACGATTTCGTCACCAACCCCGGAGCTTTTGGTAAAAAAATCGTGTGACGACTATGCATTCTCTTGTTTCAAAAGTGATCACTTTAGCTTGTAAGGGTGAGCAATTAATTTCTTTGGGTGGTGCAGGGTTTGCGACGTCCAAGGTGGCATGCTGCGGGCAAGGGCCTTACAATGGCCTAGGACTGTGCACACCAGCTTCGAATCTGTGCCCGAACAGGAACCTGTACGCGTTCTGGGACGCCTTCCATCCATCCGAGAAGGCAAACAGGATCATAGTTGAGCAGATGTTCTCTGGAACCGCGGAGTATATGAAACCCATGAATCTTACCACCATCCTGCAACTGGATGCCAGAACGTGATCGATCGTCATTTGTGATTGGAACTGGAAAAAAATTTGGATGTTGTTGTTGGACGTTGGTTAATAAATGCATTGTTATTGTCTTCGTTCTGCCTTTTCTTTTTTCGCTTTGTTTTGGGATAATGGAGTTTCACTTGGTAAAGTTATGGTCAATTGGTCATTGTACGTACAATATCAAGGTTTTATTTTGGCGAGACTTCGAATTCGAAGTTCAGCCTCTGTTGAACTGGAATGTCATTTTCTTATTCAGACTCAAAGTATTAGCTAGAGACTGCAAAATACGTGCAACATCTAAACGGCTCAAGTTAGGGTGCATAACCATGGTTATGCACCCATCAATAATCAAATCTGGACCCTTCATTTAGAAAATCCAGATCTAAAGATGGAGAGTTAAAGGTCATTTTTATTTTCACTAGCTTTCTTAATTGACTCATCTTTTTCATTTTAACTTGGATTTTAATTTTTTTTGCACAGATGGAACGAGTTCATCGTGCTCTACAAAATGAGATCAATTTTCAATATTTTTTTAGGAAAAAACAATTTTGGCCTCTCGGTACCAACTGCATACCATATGGTATCTTCTTCGTTTTTAATTCGTTTTTGAAAACGTTTGCACAGCAGGGACGAGTTCATCATGATCTATTGGATCTACAAATTTCTGGGTGAACAAATTACAAGACAAAAAAATACCACACAATACCATACAATACCACCCTGGTACGGGGTGGTATCTTATGGTATCTTATGGTATACAATGTTAAAAGTCGTAAATGACAATTAATATACTTCTACTATCATGTATTCAACCATCCTACAGTTTTGGGTTGTGTCGTACCACCATGGTACGTTTTTCAAACCATAGGTATGCTCTTATTTCAATACCAGTCAATACCATATGGTATAGACTGGTATAAAATGGCTCAATCTTTTTTGTTCGAAAAATATACCAAAGTGGATATCATTTTGAAGAGCACAATTAATCTGATCTAACTGTGCAAAAAAAATTAAATTTCGACTTAAAACGAGTGAGAAATTGTCCGTCAAAAATTAAGGATGAGAAAATTAAAGGCTTTCCAGGAGAGAGAGGATGCTGATGTCATGCTGATGTGGGCGGGTTACTCATAGTTACTCACCATAAGGCTGTTTTACAATAAAAAGGAAACTCGAGGGGTTATTATCCTCAAAAGTAACAAACAAAACAAGTCCACAACTTGAAACTATTTTGTATTATTACAAAAAATTAGATAGTTATAAAGATAAGAGTATCAATCTGTAATTATGTATAGCTAGTCACGATTAGGGGTGGAAATCGGTACGGTATCGGTATCCCAATATCAAATACCGAAATCCCGAATACCGAATTACATCCTAAAATCAATCCCAATCTCAATTCCTAAATAATTTTGGTATCCCAATCTCAATCTCTAAATATTTTGGTATCCCAATCGGTATTATCAAATACAAAATTAATTACCTTTGTAATTAATAATTAAATATATAAATTTGATTTTATTGTTTAATTTAGGGCAAAGAGACTAAGCAAAGAGTCTTGAGTTGCCTAGAGCTAATATCTCAAGTTCTTGTAATTGGTAATCTTTAATTTGACGAATTTGAGGTTGAGAGAAGACTAATACTAGTGTGAAATAGTGACGGAATGATCTATGTATAATTAAATGACACTCTGGGTAGTTGAGGGTCGTCTAGTAGTGAATGAGAGAGTCTAGTTCAAAAGATAAATTACGCATTAGCTTATATTTCGGTATTGATTGGTATTTCGCTATATCCCGATCCCAATCCCGTAATCCCTAATACCGAATAACAATTGAAATTCAATCCCAATCCCAATCCCACAAAATAATACATGTATTCGGTAATACCCAATATAGACAATTTTGGTACGGTACGGTATTCGGTATATCCCAAATACCGATACCAAACTTCCAGCCCTAGTCACTATTAGTTGTCTGTTTGATTAGGTTTCAATGATATTCCCTATGTAGAGCCAAGATTCATCATTGTAAGAGGTTAAGTCGTTAATAGTAATATCCTTTGGAGAGCACAGCCTTACCCATGAATTAGTCTTGATCTTCAGGGAAAATACGTTAAAATTTTTGTGTTCTTTACCATTCAGTTCATACCACTTTACATGGTATTAGAGCCTATGATCATCTAAAGGTTGGTTTGTTCTCTTTTGTGTATTTGTTTGCTACAGCGTGAGTCCTCTTCCAAGAGCAGTCTCTTTGGTTCTTGTTCTAGGGATTGCTTGGGTATAGGTTGTATATCGTCTTACGTCGTTTGTTGGTGTGGTCGATTTGTGTTGGGGTTTTGGTTGCCTTTGGATGCTTGTCTTGACAGCTCTTGGTTAGAATGGATTTCTCTAATACCGATTTGGTATCAATAAAATTTGATAGGAAATACTTTGCCATCTGGGAGTGTTCCTATTTCACAATTTCATTGATGAAAAGCATCTCCTTTCTATTCTGGCAAGAGAGAAAAGGCAGTGGGCTGTTGATGTAGGTGTGCTCGATGTGGAGGATTAGACTGCTTATAACCCCCAGGTTATTACATGACTTTTGGCTTTGGTGGATCTTTCAACTGCCCTCAATCTTCATCGTTTTAGCATGGCTCACGATATGAGGAGTCTATCTGTGTGACCTACACGCAGAAAAGTGCCTCTCGACAATTTTAATTGGAGATTTAAATCTATCTGCTTTGGTAATGTTTTCTGTTTTGTTTTCTTTGCGTTCTCCCTATTTGGTAAGATTCTGAGTCGGATATTGATTTCATAAAGCTAAGATGTTCAAAAAGTGAGCTCAAGCCATTCAATTTAAAGAGGACTCCATATACTACTCGGAAAAAAGAAAAAATCTTCGTCTAAAAAGTTGGTATTGAGCAAAAAATAAGAGAAAATCTGCCTCCGGGAAGTTAGATAACATAGCAACTGATTTTATTTCTAGCCAAATATTGTACGAAGAACAAATTATTAAATATGCTGGGAGTGTCATATTTGCTAGGTAAGTTTTTGTTCATACTCTTTGTATACGTTTATTCATTAGTTTGTATTTTTCTTCTTGGTTAATGAATTTAACTGAATATGTTTGCATACATATGTAGCAATGAAATTTTTGTCGACATAGGTGATGCTAAGTATTGCTTGTCACCATGGTTGTCATGCCGGTGGCATGCCACCCGGTTGAACCTGGTTCAACCTATGCCGGTCATGAAACCGGCATGACACCACCGGTATGACCGGTATGATCGACTTACGCATTGTATGTAAAATGACATCATTTTAATGAATTTAATGAATAAAAATAATAATTTATTATTCATTTTATGAATGTAATGGTTAAAAGTTGATGATATTTGTTGGATTGTAACTAAATTGTCCACAAATATGTTTTATATATGATTAAATACATTGGATATTAATGTTTTCACATTTTTTTAGACCGGCATGAACCGGCACAAACTGGTTATACCACCGGTCGTACCATTCTACTTGCCAAACCGGCACAACGGTATAAACCGGTTTGACAACCTTGCTTGTCACAGAAGGATACTCATACAACATGTGGTGAGAATGTTCTATCAATCAAATTTCTCAATTTTTATGTGGACAATTTCATTCGTACTACTTGTGACAATGGATGCTTGTATTATTCATCTTGTTCAGTTCATCATAACGATTTTATACTTTGATTATGTAGTGTGTACACTTTACGTTAACCATTGTGTTTGTTGATCTTTGATGTTGTTTTTCCATGTGCAGTGGATTTCCTCATATTGTATGGATGACCATTTTATGGTATTTTGAGATAACTTGAAGGATAGTCATTATGAATACCTTGAATCCTATCCTGATAAGAATTTTCTAGATCTGTATATGATAGATGGAGAACTGGTCGTCCAGTATGCAACATTGACCAGGAAATCGGATCGTACCGGCCGGTTCAACCGAAAATCGGATAAAAAACGGGACGTAGAATTATCATACCGGATGGTTTTTTCGGTTTAACCGGCCCAAAACGAAATACCGCCTGATTTTGTTCCGACCGGCGGTAGGCATTTTACAATGAAACGTTGTTGTCTTATGCTGCAAAAATGAAGGGGAAATAAATGAAAAACCCACTGCCAAACCCTAATCCCTGATTGAATTCTCGAAGGCTTTCTTTGTTTCTTTTATTCTCCAATTTCACGCCCCGCCGCTCATCTTCTCTTCTCTTCGCCAGCTGACCCCTGCCTTTGGCGACCGGCGAAATGGACCAGGCGACGAGTTCGCTCAAGAACGCCGCCGGGTCTAATTCCGTACCCTGCTCGAGTCTCCTTCCACTGCCCAGTCTCCTCCCCTGCTCGAGATCGACCAGATCTGTGAGATCCACCAGATCCTTCGACAAGATCTGTGAGATCGACCAAGGAGGCAAGGATTCGAGGCTCGAGCTATCCCCTTCCTCTCTAGCCTCCTGCGGTCCCTTCTCGCACAATCCCTCTTGAGCCTCCACTCTTGTTGATTTGGTGCTCCATTTGTTTGAAAGGCAGAGGATGTGGAATTCATTTTGGGGTCGGATACTATGCTAACCCCTAAAGGGGTAGTGGTTTTTGACACCCTCCTCTTGATTGGTCACTTTTCCATTTAATCATTTGATAAGTTTTATTAATGAAAGTTGCTTTTTACTTTATTTATTGTAATCTTGTAAATTGGGAAAGCCTTAATTGTGATAATAATTATGAATGGGGAAGCCAAAAGAATGCCTTAATTGTAAATTGCCTTAATTGTAAATTGGGAAAGCCTTAACAGTCACACCTCACCCTCACCGGCAGAAGAATGCCATGGAAAAACCCCCAAAACCAAAAGGCAGCTCTCCATTTGGTTGCATCCTATTGGCTCTCGAGACGACTCAGAGGATTTGTTCAACAACCGTCACCTATAATTAAGCATAATAATGCCTTCCCCGCAATTACAATTATCCTCTCTTTTTGGGGGTCGGATGATTTCGGCGATGAAAATATCAACAGGGCCAATACCACAGTAACTAACTAACTAACAACAACAACAACAACAAAAACGTGAAGAAGAACACCAAGGGGGTTTCTCGTCGGCGGAGAACCCGTCGGAGATGAAGAAGAACGTGAAGAAGAACACCTGGGGGGTTTCTCGTCGGCAGAAAAAAACGCACCAATGGAGTGGTACGTGTACCAGTGGAGTGGTACGTGTACCAGTGGAGTGGTACGTGTACCAGTGGAGTGGTACG